ACTTGGCCTCATTAATAGTTAATCTAGTGGTTTTGATGGATTGTCTAATAATGCCACATGTGGGACATTTCAGTACGATGTCAAGATCGAACCCCTTCACATTTGAGGTCCAAACCCCCGACGACGTACCCGATTTTAACAACAGTTCCTTTTTAACTTCGGGTGCGAGGGTCGACATGAAATTGGCCACGAAGTCCGCTAAAATTTGGGACTTGATGGTCGTACGGGGTTGATATTCGATATCGTACCCACTGAGTTCGACGGCCCATTTGGCCAGTCGACCCGATAGTTCGGGCTTGTGCAGAATATTGCGAAGTGGGTAAGTGGTCAGAACGCATATGGAGTGACATTGAAAGTATGGTCTTAACTTTCTAGAGGCGCTTATTAGTGCAAGTGCTAATTTCTCTAAGTGAGGGTATCTAGCCGCTGCTTCCCCTAAGGTCCGACTTACATAATAAATAGGAAACTGTGTAACTTGCTCTTCTCGAATTAGGACACCACTTAGCGTGATTTCCGACACCGCCAAGTATAAGTACAACTTCTCATCTGTACTCGGAGTGTGAAGTAGTAGTGGGCTCGATAGGTACCGCTTCAATTTTTCTAGTGCCTATTGGCATTCCGGGGTCCAGGCGAAATCGCTCTTCCTTTTGAGTAGGGAGAAGAACTTGTGGCTTCGATCTGATGACCTCGAAATGAATCGGCCTAAGGTAGCTATCCGCCCGGTCAGCCTTTGTACTGCTTTCACGCTATCCACGACGGTGATGTCTTCGATGGCCTTAATTTTGTCGGGGTTGATCTCGATTCCCCGATTCGATACCATAAAACCAAGGAATTTGCCCGATCCAACCCCGAAAGCACATTTCTCGGGGTTGAGCTTCATGTTGTATTTTCTTAAGATCTTGAACATTTCCTGCAAATGAGTCAAATGGTCCTCTGTGCGCAGGGAATTAACTATCTTTTCATCAATGTAAACTTCCATCGGCTTACCTATTTGTTCTTCGAACATTTTATTCACTAGGCGCTGGTAAGTAGCTCCTACGTTTTTTAGCCCGAATGACATTACATTATAGCAATAGGTTCTATATTTGGTGATAAATGAAGTCTTTTCTAGATCCTTCGGGTTCATTCGAATTTGATTGTACCTGGAGTAGGCGTCGAGAAAAGTAAGGATCTCGTGGCCGGCTGTGGCATCGATCATTCGATCGATGATAGGCAGTGGAAAATAATCTTTGGGGTATGCTTTGTTTAGATCTTTATAATTTATGCACATTCTAAGTTTGTTCCCCTTTTTAGAGACTACAACTACGTTGGCTAACCACTCGGGATATTTTACCTCCTGAATTGATCCTATTTTGAGAAGTTTAGTTACCTCATCCTTTACAAATACGTGTTTTACCTCGGACTAAGGTCCTCTTTTTTGCTTCACCGGTTTGAACCTAGGGTGCAAGCTCAGCTGGTGTGTTGTTATTGATGGTGGGATCCCTGCCATGTCTAAATGGGACCAAGCAAAACCGTCTATGTTATCAATAAGAAATTGAATGAGTTTTTCCCTGAGTTCGGGGGTCAATCCCGTTCCCAAGTATACCTTTTTCTCGGGTAGATATTTGATTAATATAACCTGCTCCAGTTCTTCGATCGTAGATTTGGTGGCGTCGGAGTCGTCGGGGATGATAAAAGCTCGAGGTGTCAGAAACTCTTCCTCGCCATCCTCTATTTCCTATTACCGGTTCGGTCGAGACCGGTGGTTGTGATTGCCATTTGGTTTCTCGTCTATCTTTAGTGCTCGATCTTTCCGAGACCGATAGCATTGGCATCAGTATTACCTCATCGACCGCAAATATTTCCTTCGCAGCATGTTGCTCCTCGTGTACTGTTTTCACACCGTCCGACATAGGAAATTTTATTACTTGGTGGAGGGTCGAAGGCACCGCCTTAATATTGTGGATCCAAAGTCTTCCAAGTAGGGCATTGTACCTCATATCCCCTTCAATTACGTGAAATTTGGTATTTTGGATGGTTCCGGCTACATTCACTGGTAGAGTGATCTCCCATTTAGTCGTTTCATTGGCCATATTGAAACCGTTCAAGACTCGAGCTGCGGGAACGACTTGATTCTACAAACCTAGCTGCTCCACTACCCAAGATCGGATGATATTCGCAGAGCTACCTGGATCTACTAAAACACGCTTAACTTGAGCTTTATTTAATAGGATAGAAATTACCAGAGCGTCATTGTGAGGTTGAGAGATGCCCTCCGCTTCTTCAATTCCGAATGATAAAGTGCCCTCGGGTACATAACTTCAAGTTCATTTTTCCCCTGTGGCCGGTATCTTGCCGTACTTGATCATGGGCCCTTGCGGAGTATCAACTCCGCCGATGATCATATGAATGATATGCAGAGGTTCCTCTTGTTTATCCTTTTTGCTGGCGTCTCTTTCTCTGGAGTGATTCCTGGCTCGGTCACTGAGGAACTCTCGAAGGTGGCCCTCATCGAATAAGCGGGCTACCTCTTCTCTTAATTTTCTGCAATCCTCGGTCCTGTGGCTATGTGTGCCATGATACTTGCACATTTAATTCGGGTTTCTTTGGGAAGGGTCGGTTTGCATGGGTCTGGGCCACCTAGTGTCTTTGATTCTTCCGATCGCCGATATAATGCCCGATGCGTCGACGCTGAAATTGTACTCCGATAGTCGAGGTGCCTCTATAGGATCGCCATATTTATCGAAGCCACCCTTGCTCATAAGCCCCCGAGAATTTTGTCCTCGATCACTTCTTCAATTGTTCCGAGCGGAATTGTACGCTGAGCCATTGTTCATTCGATCTACGACGTACGGTTGATATCGGTCTTTGTTTGACCTTCGTTCTTTGTCGATATCCCTCTGGTTTTTAATAGCTACCCTGTTCTGGTGCATGGATCCGGAAGGAGCTCCCAACTGGTTGTCTTCGACCCTGATTTTTGACTGATATCGGTTGTGTACATCCGCCCAAGTCATTGCTGGATACTCGATCAAATTTTGCTTCAGCCGACGTGATGCTATTGAACTTTGCTCGTTCAACCCTTGGGTGAAAGCTTGGACGGCCCAGTCGTCTGTGACCGGTGGCAATTCCATGCGTTCCATTTAAAATCGGGACACGAACTCCCTCAACATTTCATTACCGTTTTGCTTTACTTTAAAGAGGTCCGATTTCTTTGTTGCAACCTTTATGGCACCATCATGTGCCTTTACAAACGAATCCGCTAACATGGCAAAAGAATCGATGGAATTTGGGGGCAAATTATGATACCAAATCATCGCTCCCTTCGAGAGGGTCTCTCCAAATTTCTTCAATAACATGGATTCGATCTCGTCGTCTTCCAAATCGTTACCTTTGATGGCACACATGCAAGAGGTGACGTATTCGTTGGGATCGGTCGTACCGTTATATTTGGGAATTTCGGGCATAAGTAATTTTTTGGGGATTGGTTTTGGGGCTGCACTCGAGGGAAAAGGCTTTTGGATGAATTTCTTCGAATCCAGCCCTTTTATCATTGGTGGGACTCCCGGGATCTGATCGACCCTGGAATTATATGTTTCTACTTTTTTATCGTTGGCTTCGACTCGTTTTGTGAGTTCCTCGAGCAATTTGGTAATTTCGGGAGTAGTCCCCGATTCTTGCTCGTTTGACTTCACTATGGCTGACTCCGTTCTGTGGGGGATTTTTCGGAGCGGATCGGGCTCCGACCTACTTTGTACTTGAGTTTGGCTCTACAACTGAGCTATCGCTATTTGCTGGCCTTGTAACATCTCGAAGATCATCTGTAAGCTGACTCCGATCTCCTCCACGTTATGGGCGTCTCTAGCTACGGATCGAGTACCGCCCTGAATGCTCTTTTTCGGTTCGGAACGTTGGTTCGCCTCAAAATCCACTTGTGAATTGACATCTAATGGTGCTCCGACTCGGATTTCAGGTACTCCGACTCAAGCTTCAGTGATATCGTTTAGTGGCCTTCCGGCCCTGGGTATCAAGTTGTTGGTTTTATCCTGAATGCCGGCTTCGTGGTCGAAAGGTAAAGCCATGAATCGAGGGTTTGCTATTGCTGACTCGGAGTTGTGAACTGGTGTGTATTATGGATTTGTGTCAAACAACCACTGTTATCCTTAGCCCCACGGTGGATGCCAAACTGTTTATCCGAAAAATCGGATAGTTGAATTTATAAGTAGTTCTAAAGATATGTGATATAGCTTGACATAAATTGTACGTAGAAGTGGAAATATTTGGATTCTTGGCTATAGAAATGAGATATAAATTATTGAATTAGAAGAATGAGTATGTTGAGTAAAACAAGCTTAAGAGATTTACTCTTCAATAAATAGAAGTAGTCTTGTCTTACAATGTGTCCGTCCTTTGTGCTTACAAGGATTCTCCCTTTATAGTAGAGGGATCTTACTTTATTTATAATAAAAAATATATAGTGGAGAACCCATGATGAATTATCTTTTCCTCGATTCCTGCCAAGATTCCCTCCCTTAGTGCGGTTGCAACGGCTCCTGTATGCGAGCTCGATACGGGCTCGAGCTCGGTATTAGATCGAGACCTCGGCCTTGAGTTCGAGTTCGACATTCGGGGTGGGTGTCAATCGGTTTGTGCATCTCCGACAACCTTCTCTTTGCCCTGCGGTTCGATTTGGTCATGGGCTTGATAATGAAACCGAGCCGATTCCTCNAGTGCGGTTGCAACGGCTCCTGTATGCGAGCTCGATACGGGCTCGAGCTCGGTATTAGATCGAGACCTCGGCCTTGAGTTCGAGTTCGACATTCGGGGTGGGTGTCAATCGGTTTGTGCATCTCCGACAACCTTCTCTTTGCCCTGCGGTTCGATTTGGTCATGGGCTTGATAATGAACCCGAGCCGATTCCTCAGTCGGTCTTGGAGCTCGAGGCTTGTATGTACTATCCTCGGAACTCTTCTCGAGCTCTCACTTCGATCGCTTACCCTTCGAAAACGTACAAAGGCCGAAATCTATTTCGACCGTATACAATTCCTCAAACTGGTAACGTTCCCTAAGCACGCTGGCACTGAACCAGAAAAATAATTTCCTGACAAATCTAATGCACCAAGACTCTTTAAATTGCAGATAACATTTGGTATGGTTCCTTCTATCTTGTTTCCATATAGGTAAAGTTCTTGAAGTTTCAACATGTCTTGGACAGTTTTTGGAATATGTCCAGCCAACTCATTGTTTTGCAGACTCATCCTTGTCAGTCCAGTAAGATTACCAATTTCTTCAGGAATGATGCCCATCAGTTTACAACCCTGTCCTTCAAAAATTTGCATAGCAGAAAAATTTCAAACTGATGCAGGAAAAACACCATCTAATGAATTCTCAGCAAAACTGAGAACCCTTAATTTCCTACAGTTTGTTAAAGATGTCAGGAAGCTCATTGCCGAATCACTGGAAAAATCATTCCATTGCAAGTTTAGCATCTCAAGGTATTCTAAGTTACCAAGTGACTCAGGAATTGGGCCTGTGAAACTATTGATTTCGAGATCAAGACCTCTAAGTCTTGAGGAATTTGAGATAGAAGCAGGGATAAAACCACTCATAATATGCACAATTAAAGTTTTCTATGCTGGACATTCCATGGCCTAAATCTGATGGTAGAGTACCTGAAAGCCTGTTTTGTTCAAGTGCTAGGTTCTGCAGTGCTGACATGTTGAAAATGCTTGCAGGGATAGAACAAGTAAACTCATTCTGGTATAATGATAGTGTTTGTAGTTTCTTAAGATTACCTAACTCCACAGGTATCTCTCCTATCAAGTGGGGAAAATATGAGTATCAATTTGACGGAAGAGAAAAAATAAGCAAACTTCAAATTTCTTGTAAGGAAATATCATACTACCTCCCAATTGCTGTACTCCAAGATATAATTCTGTAAGATCTCTCAAGTTGGCTAACTCTCTTGGTACAGTTCCAATGAACTTATTTTTAGACAATATCAAGATATCAAGCTTTCTGCATTTTTCTAAGTTTGGTAGAATAACGCCATCTAGGTAGTTGTTTGAGATGGCAAGCACTTCCAAGTCTGGAAGATGGTCACATATAGTTGTTGGAAGTTTACCAGTAAGATTGTTGCTGGTAAGAATAATCTTTTGCATTGTCGTAATGTTAAAGATTGATGGTGGGATAGAGCCAGTAAGCTGGTTCTCTTGCAGGTATAATGAAGTCAGGTAACGAAGAGCACCAAGTTCTTGAGGGATCTCTCCTATCAAGTGGAGGAAATATATGAGTACTTTCGACTGCGAGAGAGAAAAAAGGAAGAAGATTTCTGATTTCTCTTAAGGAAATATCATACTACCTTCCAAGTGTTGTCCTCCAAGAGCTAATCCTGTAAGAGCTGTTATGTTGCCTAACTCTTTCGGTACAGTTCCAGTGAACTCATTATTAGCCAATGACAAGATTTGAAGCTTTATGCATTTTTCTAGGTTTGGTGGAATAATGCCATCTAGGATGTTTTCTGAGAGGTAAAGCCCTTCCAAGTTTGGAAGATGGTCACATATAGTTGTTGGAAACTTACCAGTAAGATTATTTTTTAGAAAGAGTAATGATTTACATTGTTGTAATGTTAAAGATTGATGGTGGTATAGGGCCTCTAAGCTGGTTATCTTGCAGATCTAGGATAGTCATATAACGAAGATCACCAAGTTCTCAAGGGATCTCTCCTTTGAGATAATTTCCAGACATAACTCTTTCAGTTGTGATAGATTGGAAAGGGAAGATGGGATTCCTCCGAAAAATTGGTTTCCGAATAGGCAAACAAAGCGAAGGTTTGGTAACAAGCTTAAAATGATGGAATAGCACCAGTGAAGTTATTTCTTGAGCAACGAAACATTTTCAACCTCTACAAATGAGCCAATTCTTGTGGAAACTCCCCATGGAAAGTGTTGTTGCTGACGATGAGGGAAGAGAGAAATGTGAGGTTTCCAAGGTGTGCAGGAATAGTACTATGAAGTTGCATGCTTGAAATGTATAAAGCTAGGATTCTATGGTGGCGAGAGCTGCAAGTGATTCCAACCCAGCTGCAAACTGGGCTAAAAGAATACCAGTCAGTTGCTAAGATATTGTTAGGATCAACAGAAATGTGTTGGAGACGATGAAGTTTTGCACAAAAATGTCTAGAATTTTCTGATTAGGAAGTACAATTACTACATTGTTCCAAAATATTCTCATAGTGCTCAACACATTACACTATGTATTTTAATCTTTTATTACCATTATTACATTGTTCTAGAATATTCTCTTAGTGCTCAGCACATTACACCATGTATTTTAATTGTTTATTCCCATAGTGCTCAGCACATTACACCATGTATTTTAATTATTTCTTCCTTCCTTGTATTTATTTTATATACACCTTTATACAAGCTAATAGAACATTGCCACTTGGTAATATAGCATGTAGCCCTAGATTCATTCCTTTTGTATATAATCCTAGGTATGTACAGTGACTAAACACACATTTTATTGAATATACAAAAAAGTAATCTTCAAATCATTCTCTCATTTTGTCATGGTTTCAGAGCAGGTTTGATTCTGCTATCATTTTCTGTTTTCTCAGTCATAATTCAGTTTTCCTTCTCATTTGTCTTCTTCTCTTAAGCTTGTCTGCTATGGGTTCTTAACCACAGTTGGCTGATACTCTAGCTTCTCCTACTACCACCACCAATGCTCCTGCACCTACAGTTACCATTGCTTCAGGAGTGACTGACTCTACTCACCCTTAATACCTTCATCCTTCTGACTATCCAGGGATGAACCTTGTGTCCTCAGATTTTGATGGAAAAAGATATGGAGGTTGGAGAAGGGCAGTCATTATTGCCTTATCTGCAAAGAACAAGCTGGGATTTATCGATGGTACCCTGGTTGTCCCTAAGGTGGGTTGCTCTGATGGTAAGCACCCTTCACTTCCAACCAAGAGGTTGTGAGTTCGAGTCACCCCAAGAGCAAGGTGGGGAGTTCTTGGAGGGAAGGATGGCGAGGGTCATTTGGAAATAGCCTCTCTACCCTAAGGTAGGGGTAAGGTCTGCGTACACACTACCCTCCCCAAACCCCACTAGTGGGATTATACTGGGTTGTTGTTGTATCCGGAAAGGGAGCATGTTTTGTTTGACTTTTCCCCCCTTTTTCTACCAGTGCCAGCATGATTTAGGTTACATTTTTTCTTCTGATCCTAACAATATCTTAAAGGGTGGGACACCAAATAAAAAAGATAGAAAAAGGGGGGAAAAGTCAAACAAAACATGCTCCCTTTCCGGATACAACAACAACAAAGTATAATCTCACTAGTGGGGTCTGAGGAGGATATTGTGTACGTAGACCTTACCCCTACCCTGGGGTAGAGAGACTGTTTTCGATAGACCTTCGGCTCCCTCCCTCCAAGAACTCCCCACCTTGCTCTTGGGTGACTCGAACCCACAACCTCTTGGTTGGAAGTGGAGGGTAATAGAGCAACACTCTTGTGCAGCTTTCCATATACCCTACAAGAAATGCCAAACTAGCTGTGTAATATAAAGACGGCTGCAGCAAGTTACTATCCATTGTTCATTGTCAATAACTCTCCTGGTTACCTCTTTCTTATCTGAGCCTTGACGAACTTAGTCATTGGACTATACCTAAGAATAGCACTCTTTGACCCATCATTTAGATTTATCTACTAAATGCTTATCTCTTCTAAATGGTTGTTCAAGATTTGCTACTTTTACAGTCCAAGATCAATTCAACATGGCTTGGGAAAATAAAGTTGCTAGGAAAGAAATAACATTTGAACAGTTCCGCTTAGATCTTCGTGACTTTTGATGTTTCTAACATTTTTCAGAGAAACATGCTTTGAAAATTTATATGGTCAGTCAAAAATCAAGCACTTCTATCAACATCTCAATTCAAAAACTTCTGACGTTATCTCCAGATATTTGTTTCAGTTTGGTTAGTGTGTACACAACTCCAATATTTCTGATCTTTCAAGCTTTAAGATTACAGCTTTTTCATGGCCAGTGTGAAAGAAAGATTAATCAAAGGGATGACAACCTCAGAAAGAAACTCAAAGTTGACTTAGCGTTCCTTCTTAAGATCTAGTGATGCAAAATCACCATCAGACTTAATGTTCTTGTTCAGAAGAAAATTCCACTCGTTTCTGTGAAAAGTAGGTGTGATGTTCAGGTTCTTTTAAGTGTAATGATCGGAAACCCGGGTAGTGCGGAATTTAGCCGAACAACGTTATAATGACAATAACAAAGACAATGTAAGTTGATAACTGTTGAAATTGTCAAAAGTCCCACATCCGTGGATGACAATTTTGAATAGGAATTTCACCCTATAAAAGGAGGCCTAATGTTTAGGATTTTAAAAACACCTCTCATTTGCCCTTTTTTTATCTTCTTAAGACATTTGTATCTTCTCTCTTTAGTATTATTTCACTTGTAATTTTGGAGTGGAATAAAATATTGATTGTGTCCGAGGAAGTAGGCAAAATTGGCCGAACCTCGTAAATCCTGGTGTTCTTTTATTGTTGTCTTATTGTCTTGTTTATTATTTAGTGGTTGTCATAATTTTTGGTATAGTAGTTGTGACTTATTCACACTATATACATTTGGCTTCCGCAACAATTGGTATCAGAGCCAAGGTACTGTCTAAGTATGCTCTGTGGTTGCAGCATAGTCTGATCTTCCACATCAGAAAAGATCTATCTTGGTAACTGAGTCAAAGTTCTGCCTGAGTATGCTCTGTGGTTGCAGCTTAGTCTGATCTTTCACACCAGAAATGAAATAATCTTGATTTGTGTCGTCAGCTACTAAATAATATTTGTGTCAAAATGGGAGACAATAAACAAGAAGAATCTACATCAAGTGTCAATAATACGTCATCGTTGGCATCTTCGCTTATGACAAGAATTATGTCAAATGTGAAATTTACGGTAGAAATTTTTGACGGGTCAGGACATTTTAGGATGTGGCAGGGCGAGGTTCTAGATGTTCTTTTTCAACAAGGGCTAGATCTTGCCATTGAAGAAAAGAAGCCAGATGTTATTGGAGAAGAAGATTTGAAAATCATCAATCGTGTTGCTTGCGGTACCATTCGATCCTATCTTGCTAGAGAGCAGAAATATCCATAC